AGAATGACTTTTGAAAACACAGATATATACAGTTTATTAATATTGTTGGCAAAAACAGTAGTCTGATAGTTCATTTTACATTTCATAATTTACTCTTCATGAATAGCTCTGTTTCAAAATGTAATTACTGTTCACATTTTACTGAAAAGCCTAGAAAATTGACAGATTCCATTGTGACAGCCTCACATAGTGCACCGATAATGAATTGTATATTTTTCATGGGCATTCGTAGTGGAAATATATAAACTGCTTTTGTGTAGCCAAAGCGTAAATGTATGTATCTTTAACAGAAATTAAAATAGCCTGAGAAATTTTCACTTGAGTAAAAAATGTGACTAGTCTGGGATCTACATTATAGATTCACACATATAAGCGATATCATTCTTAACAAATAGGCCTACTACTTCATTGTCTCTTCTATTTTACTTTTGATACTTACAATTACTGCTATTATTTTTCCTATTAATTACATAAGACAGTAGTCAGAATAAACAGAAGACTCTTCATTTTTATTTCTGAAGCATATTTTACTCAGTCAAGTAAATGAAGTTCATCTTCTTCTTTCACAAAATATGTGCAGATGTCCATGAGACGGTGTAATTTTCCGCGTTTTCTCTTCAACTCCTTTTGGGCATCCATGCACATCATGGTAAACTTCTGAAACTCGCTTAGATTCAGGCACTGTTGGTAATTAAAGATTTCATTTTAGATTTAATGCTCTATAATGCACAAGTTATTGTTTGATCATACAACAAGCCACATGAGTAATATTTTCCAAATTTGTCTGAAATTGATAACCCTCTCTATGGACACATTGGAGGTAGTCACCTGCCGTTAGCTATTTTTGTATTTAATTTTTTTTTACATAACGTTTAGGTGTTTACATAAATGTAACATTTTGTTTATCTATTTAACAAAAAATTACTTACAATCAAATTGTGTCCTTTTGGCTAATTAATTTGCTGAAAAGCGCTAGTAATATGATTGCCACTTACGCATCCTCTACTGAAAGAATCTGCTAACAGCGACAAACAGTGACAAAATGCAAAGAGCTAAAATAATGAATAATTCTAAACGATCTTTGTAATTTTCACAGGGAAAAACACGAAAAAACACCATCTACATCCAGACCATCAATTATTTTTATGTGCTATGAAAATGTAGTAGTCAGTGGCTAATGACATACATTTTCAGTCACCTAGTGCAAAATTTGGTTGCATATGTTAGTAATTATGGAGGATTGTACAGTGATGTTAAATGCTGTTAACAGATTAAATGTTTGATTGTTAAGCAGCACTGGCAGTTGTATGACATCTGTACCTCGTCCCCAGTGATGTCAAACAGGTTCAAGATCTTTTTGAAATCAGAACCCTTGAGATTGAAAAGGAATCCGGATGCTTTAAACTCTTTCAGGTTGATGGTTTTGCTACTGTCCATATCCAACAGCTCAAAGACAGGGAGGAAATGGTGACAGATGAAGGTCTCTTCCACATCATGCTACGTACACATACACATTTCAGCACATGTGACATTGATCACAACCTCTCATAAAACAATAACAATGATAAAGACCAAGGAAATTTGGCAGTAAATGGGGTTTTCCTGCAGCATGAAAAAGAGGAAGTGGCTTTTTGCTCAGATATTGTGAGCCCTGTATGGTTGTGGTGAGTGTGGAGGGGCTGTTTTTGATGTGGTCATGTTTTGTAAGAGAATGTCTTACTTCACTACTGAGCAGAATGCAGACCATCATATAAAACTCCTCAAAACCAATTTCTCCATCAGCATCCCAATCCAGCATGTCGAAGGTCAGCATTATGTGTTTCTTCCCCATTGTTGTCACATGCTTCATGAAATGGTAGAACTGAATGTCTGAGGAAGGGAAAAGAAAAGCACGACAGTTATTCCAAACATTGAAATTCCACCGTACTAATCTATCCACCTATTGCAGATTAATAAAAATTACATAAAAAGACTGATAAAAAATTACAGATTTGTCAGTTGTTCTCGTGTTAAAGGGGAAATGCGAGTAATTATGTAATTATTAGTGTATTTTTACCATTCAGTGTTTTTTTCTCATGAATATCCAGAAGACAAAAATAATCATTTAGTGTTAGAGTGTTAGTCAGTGAGAGAAGGCAATGAAACTTGTTTAAATTCAAATATTCGAAGAAAACCCCCTTTTTTAACTTCATTTTGCTATTTAGATTAGAGTAATGTTAACCGCGTCCATTATCAATCAACAATTAATGCTGTTACCATGGTAATTAGGCACCTTTCAAGCTTCCGCGTTTATAGCTTCCGGATTGGCGCAGGCCAAGACGCTTTCACACTTGGTTCGCTTGCCTCTGGTCCGAACCCGAGTTCGATTGCTCCCCCCTCCCCCTGGACTGTGTTCGTGTTATTTTATTTGGGTCAGCGTCAACAAGCCAGCAGCTGTTTACCCCGTTGCTTAGTAACGACGGGCAGGAGAAGGCGGCAAAATGCGCAGTTGCCCTCTTCATTTTTGTTTTTGAACCGTTGGTTTTGTTTCCAAAGCTTCAGTACATAACGGCACTTATGTTTGTCTTACGAGTGTACAGCAAATGCTCTAAAGAACGCTAAAGGCAAACAGAAATTAGACATACAGCTTTCTGCTTGAAGCGAGTCAGTCACGCTCGTAAGGAAAGTGAGTGAAACACACACACATTTTTATCAAATAATACGTAATTAATTGCGGTTCACTTCCGCGATTCGGTAGGCCTACGATTGCGTTCACATCAGCAGCGAACCGTACCGGAGTTCACATGAACCGCACCCCAGACCACCCTTTTTAAGCGGACCCGGGTACGGTTCGCGGGTGCGCACCTGAGTTCGGAAGACAGCGTTCACATCATCCAAACGAACCGAACTCTGACGTCAATCGAACCCGGGTGCGCACCAAAAGTGCTAGTGTGAAAGCACAGTTGCTGCCGTAAAGATTTAAGTATAATCAACTTTTGATTGTATAAGTTGTATAAGTTGTAAGTTGTATAAGTCATTTCAACTTAAATTATGTTAAACTGACTTTTAAAATATGGAGTTGAATCACATATAACGTATAAAAAAACTCGATCGGCCTGTAACTTATGATGTGACTTACACTATTTTTGCAGTGTACAAAGTGCATGTTGATTCGGGAATCAAAGTTATTTTTTTTTAATTACTTAGTTTGAAAACTGCGGTTTGAAACAAAGGCTATCACAACTAGCCTACTAGCTTCAAAGCTCAGGCGGTCACAATATTTGATTTCCTTTAAAATGTTGGTGCTTATTAGTTTAGTCATTCTTCGTGCCAGTTTGTTGTTGGCTGTGCTCCATTATCAAACTTCGTGGGGAAATTTTACACATACCTGATCCGCTGCTCCACTCGCAACCTGGATGCACATATTTCTGAACATATCTGAAAATATTCACTGTAATAGCCTATCTTTTGTAGTAGCCTACCTATGGCACAGCATACACGTTATTTTATATGATTTACTTTAAATAAGCAATGTTGTATTCCCTACTTGCGCTGTTAATGTGATAGCATAAATGCACGTTGTACATTGCGCCCTTGAAATAAATTGTAAACAAGTGATGACTTGGTTTCGTGGTTTTACTCGGTCGAGATTAGGGTTGTCATTGACAGTTTAATACGTGCTTTAACTGGACTCCTATATAATTGTTTGTGTTTATTATTGGTAAATAGTCAGCGTTCTGAGTAGGCGTAGGCTATAAAAAAATTACAATGCTATTTCTTAGATTTTATAACAACAGCTTGGGAAAAAGGCCTACTGAGAGTTCTATTTTCTTTTTTCTTTCCTTCATTCGTTTTTCTATATTATCTGGGCATTTAAAACACTTTTCATGTGTCAGGATGAAGAGTGTCATCAGCATTTAATGTGAAATTTTTTATCAGAAATCTTAATGTACAAATCACTCAATGTCATTATCTGACAGGAAAGGGGAATAACCCAATTGTGAAATGGAAAAACCAACGGAGAGTAGGGACAAGCAAATCAAACAGTAACGCAACCAGGTAAATCATCCTCTGGCTTTCAGATGAGAACTTGTGGCAAAAATACCCAAGGTGTTGGAAAACAAATATTGACTTAATATCTTTCCCACCCTTAGGCTCAATTCCTCACATAGTCCACCTTGGAAACCAATTAGCAATTTCATGTCTTATGTTTTCCTGCCCAATATAATACAATCCAGTAAAGAATCATATTTTTTTGAATGGGCCGTGTTAATGTATATGCTATAAATAGTCCAATATTAGAGAAGAGAGAGGACAGTGAGAAGGCTCGGTGGAAGTGAGAGAATTATGATGTCTGAGAACAGCTAAGGTTCTGGAGTTGCTCATGCAGGGTTTGGTTCCTCTATAACCTGCAGTGGACTTTTCCTGGCCAGGGAAATTCTGCCCTCCTGACACGTTACTTATAAGCTTGCGTACTAAACACAACAGCAAAGCAAAGTCAGTCTGGTTGTGGACATTAATCTTGTTGGATTTTTGAGCGATCGATGGTAAGTCTCTTTTTTCAAACTCATGTTATATTGTCATTAAAATAACCACTCAATTATTTTGTTTAAATACATTTTTATGCATTTTTTTTGCATAGACCCAATAATATGTAAGATTATTAGCATGACATGAAAACTGACAATTTTATACATGCATAAACAACAACTGAAGTATCATTTACCAGTTTAACAAATGAAATATTTAGCCTATTGTTTGTTCTGTTAGTAATAACAATATTACAAAGCAAAGAGCTCAACTGGATACAACAGGATATGTAATGTTTTCACGTATCTTTTAGAAGTTGATAAGTCTTCATTTTGCTTTCTTAAATGCGCAACTATATGGTTAGCTGCATTTTATTATTTACATTTAGCATTGTTTTTTTCACCTTCTGTCAGAGTAAACCTGCAGCCACAGCTGAGAACCAATGATTAAAAGTATTGCAGTCTAAACCTTTCTCTTTTTTCCACCAACAGATGCTTTTTCTCTTTTTGAGTACGTTGTTGTTTCTCCAGTCCTCTGCTGACAGATCCATCAAAACAGCTGAGAGTTACTGGACACTTAAACCAAATGGTTTGTTTGTCTGAATCATGTCTAAAGAAAAATACTTGAGCTCTCTTTTATAAACTGCTTCAATTAATTTTATTTGTATTGGGGCTTATATTGTTATATTTGCACTTCTCACATGTTTTTCAATTGTCTGTCATCAGTGCTTGTGGGGAATGTCGATGCAAGTGAAGATGTAAACATGGTGCCACTTATCTGTGGAGAAGACTATGAAGCGAAAAATATTACATGGACAAGAAACAACGATGAAAATCTGGAGGCTCAAGGAAACAGGATCGTCGTCACAGTGGAGGCCTGGAAGGGGGGCAACTACTCCTGTTTCAACAGTGAGGGATCCTATCTAAACCACACACTGGTGCTGGCTCAGTGGACCTTCAGGAAGTTTATCAAGAATACTCCTGAGAAAGGTACAACCCTCTGTTACACTGTATAAAATTGTCATGATATTAATTAGAAAAATGTAAAAATGTTAAAGAAAATTGTTTTTATGCTCATTAAGGCTTCACTTATTTGAGCAAATATAGCGTAAAAAGTAAACCTGTGAAATATTATTACAATAAAAATTTTATCGATTTTAATTTATTTCAGTACATTTTTAACAGTGAATACTCCAGTCGTCAGTGTCACATGATCCTTCAGAAATCATTCTAATATGCTGATTTGGTGCTCAGAAACATTTCCTATTATCAATGTTGAAAATTATTATGCTGCTAAGTAATTATTTCTTTTCGAAACCATGATACTTTTTGATTATTTGAATATAAAGTTCAAAAGAACAGCATTTATTTGGATTATAAATCTTTTGTAACATTATAAATTGCATATATAAATTAAATAAATGATAAATGACAAATTTAATTAAGAAATTAAATATATAAATATGTAAGTCTCTTCTGTTACTTTTGATAGATTTAATACATCTTTGCTGAATAAAAGTATTAATTAATAATATAATAATAATAATGTTTGAACGTACTGTTTATAATTTTTATAATGTGTATTTGTTTATTTTATTTTATTAGATTCAATAAATATAATTATTTAATTTAATTATTAGTATTATTCTTTTTTTTTTAATTTATTGAATTACCAAACAAGGTTACATCGATTGTACAACAAATAACTATGGAGGTTCCTTCAAATGTAACTGGATATGGGATGAAAACAGGAATGGCCATGTCATTCATATCAAAGCCACACGGTAAGTTTCTCAGTTTTACCTTAGGCTCTGCAATCTGCAGTGATGTAAGGGGTGTGGAGAAAAAAACTGACTGATTCTGTTCCAGCCCTCATGGTGGAAGCAACATCAGCTGCCGTCTGGATGACAGAGGAAAGTCTATCACATGCTTAGACCTTGACTACTGTCCCTATGCAGAGGAAGTGGAGCGCATCAACCTGACCATATACTTCAGAAGCAGCTTTGTTGTTGAATCCTACAATACAAAGTTCTACATCATGGATATCGGTAAGCTCTCAAAAACTGCTAAGAATATTGAATCAGTATGCCGCTCATCTGAATATGAAACATTCTTTTTCTCCACTCCTCAGTGAGGCCTGATATGGTGCCTATTAGTAGGATCAATAAAACATCTGTAGAGGTCAGATATCCACACTCCTGGAACACACCATTATCCTACTTCCCTCTCATGTTCCAAGTGGTTCGCTGTCGGAAACGCGAAAAATGTGACTGCTCCAAACCGAACTTACAAGAGGTAACCCAACACACAAACTGTACACACTACTGGTCAAAAGACAATCCGGAATTACATTTGGAATAATTAGGCGGTATTTATTTAATCAAAAATAGAATAAAAACAGTAATATTATGAACAATTATTACAATTTAAAAGAAGTTTTCAATTTTAAAATGTAATTTATTTCTGTGATTAAAACAACTAAGTGGAAATATATTAATACTTGTTTTGCTCAGATTTTATTCACACAAAGGCACCAGCTGCCAGTGACAAAAGGGATGTGTGTGTGTGTGAGAGCCAGGGATGAATTCTGCAATTCCTCATGGAGTGACTGGAGCCAGTACAAGTATGTGTATTTAATATTTGTTATATTCCTTAGCAAACGATTAATTTGCTTTAATCCCATTTAAATTTCCTTATTGCTTTATAAATGTTACTTTTCTGCACACATTATAATACAAACTTTCTCTGTTCATTTTTAGATGCAAAACCAGAAAAAACAGCAAGCAGAGGAACCGAGAACCAAAGTTAAAGATGCTATAATTGATTATGCATCATTAAATAAAAAACAATGTAACCATTAAGATGCTTTCTGTAGTTATGAACAATGACTGACTCTATAAGACCTTCTCTGGTCATATACTGTGTAATTAAATACAAACACATAGTATGTGTTCTTGTAATAATGTATTTATCTATACATTGTAATAACACTATCATGCTCTTAAATTAATTATTTATAACTTTAGTACATTTTAACTGTCTTACATGTATTTATTATGATTGCTGATGTCTTTACTTGATTGTTTAAGACATAAAACATCTTTATGCTCTTAATTCAGTTTTGCTTTGTATGCATGTTTAGATTTAAGAAGTGATTTCATTTGATGTCTCACCAATTCTGAACTATTATGTAGTGTGTATTTTGCTAAATATCACTCACATTGAAAGGTTTGGAATTCATTAGGGTCCTAATTATGTGCAAATGTCTTTTCTTTCTCTGTAGATCACACATAAAACTGCTCAAGACAGGAATTACTGTCACATCTCAATGTGGAGCAAAGCGACATGCTATTCCCCACGTTTCAACAGAGTTCGGGCATCAAATCAAAAGAACCACCTAAATCAATTGATCACTGATTGTTCAAGTGTTGTGTGCAAAACAAGTCCTGTATTGAAACCTGGAAAAAACATGTGTAACACACCATGAGTGACATTAACCACCATGAATTGCCTGTTGTAAAAAAAAAACAAATGCTGGATTTTTGGAAATGACACAATTGGTGCATCACTAACTAATTTTGAGGAACTTACCCAAACAAACCTGCCATTCATTAATTGAAGCTGGTAAATAACAAAAAAAGACTATAAAAATAAATAAATGAAAGGGAAATGTCATTAACTAATCTGATCAGCTGTAACTGGAACTCTACTAATCACAAACCAGACAATTAATAAGCAATTTTAAATGAGGTGAATAAAAAAAAATTACAATTAAAATAGATCATGTAATTTAAAAAGAGCCTGTACATTGTCTTGGTTAAAGGCATTCTTATGTCCGGCAAAAATATAAACCGGGAGGTGTATAAGATTGAGATATATACCTTGAGAAGGCCTCAGTCCTGTTAAAGAGGAGGCTTCTGTACCGCCTCCTCCTCACCACCAGAGGGAACTCTCTCCTGAATATTGACTTTATCCATTCGAACTCTAGTTCCCATCATGCCTCATACCTGGGACTGATTGCACACACGCACCTGCATTGAATCACGCACACACACATTTAAGCGAAACACTCACAGCAACTCATTGCGAAGTATTGATTTGCCCCGGCTGTCACTTCCGAGCGGTTACCCTGTATCTTGCCTACTCGTTTGACCTTGGACTGTTTTATCGCACTCTGATCTGTTTCTGCCTGCCCTGACTTGGATTGTTCTACTACTGTGTTTGTCTGCCGCCTGTCTCGACCTCCTGCCCGTCCCACGTTCTGTTTCAGCCTAGCCTCCGCTATTGTATCTACTGGTGATTGACCCTGTCTTGTCTGGTTACGCAATAAAAACGCTGCAAGTCCCTCTTTATCAAGAGTTAACAGTTATTTCAGGGCAAGTGTGACAAAAAAGCTTTGATCTAAGAAGCATTTCCTCAACATCCTTATGAGAGACATTACAGATTGCTGACCTACTTATGAAGTATACAGACTAAAAGAGAATATTGGCTCACTCCCTCTGGGACATGTGCTCTTGCTAGTAGGCTGATAGAAACACAAGCTCATAATTAAAAAAAGATAATAATGCAAATAGGTACAGTACAGGAGGTCTGAAATGTCTACAGTGATCTCTCTGTTACTATTTTAGTGTCTAGCAGTGATTTCACGAATGAGTTTTCACTAAACATACAAATTCAAGATGAAAATGATGGGATTGTGATTTTGACGTGATCCAGGGCTCTTGTTTTTGAAACTATTGTTTTGGGTTACTTTACCACAAGACAGCTGCTTTGACATTGTTGTTGTGGGTTAACATGTGACCTATTGTATTTTATTACTGAATGGACATTTACATAGGCCTATATTCCTACATCGTAGTGTTACTTCATACTCCGTAAATGGTGCTTAATCATATGTTTATACAGGAGGGAAGTTCACATCAACATGAGTGAATAGCTGAGCCAGCTGCGGCTTCACCACAAGAGGAGAAATTACTAGGGGGTTGGAGATGATAATTCCCCATAAAGCTTGATTAAGGTCATCAGTTTTTCACCACATGCTTTTTTTTGGGTCTGTGTGTGAAAGCAGAGATAGATCATTACACTTCTCTAAATCTTCTTGCAATTATACATAAAATATATATATATATATATATATATATATATATATATACCTGTATATATATATATACAGTGGGTACGGAAAGTATTCGGACCCCCTTAAATTTTTCACTCTTTGTTATATTGCAGCCATTTGCTAAAACCATTTAAGTTAATTTTTATTTCCTCATTAATGTACACACAGCACCCCATATTGACAGAAAAACACAGAATTGTTGACATTTTTGCAGATTTATTAAAAAAGAAAAACTGAAATATCACATGGTCCTAAGTATTCAGACCCTTTATATATGTATATAAAACAAAAATCAATAATTTTGACCCATGCAATGTATGTATGTGTGTGACCCCACAAAACCAGTCATAAGTAGCACGGGTATATTTGTAGCAATAGCGAAAATACATTGCATGGGTCAAAATTATTGATTTTTCTTTCATGCCAAAAATCATAGGCTATTAAGTGAAGATCATGTTTCATGAAGATATTTTGTGAATTTCCTACAGTAAATATATCAAAACTTAATTTTTTTATTTTTAATATGCATTACTAAGAACTTTAATCTGGACAAATTTAAAGGCGATTTTCTTGATTTTTTTTTTTTTTTTGCACCCTCAGAGTCCAGATTTTCAAATAGTTGTCTCCTCCGAATATTGTCCTATCCTAGCAAACCATACATCAATGGAAAGCTTATTTATTCAGCTTTCAGATGATGTAAATCTCAATTTCACAAAATTGACCCTTATATGACTGGTTTTGTGTAGAAATCTCAATTTCACAATATTGACCCTTTATATGACTGGTTTTGTGTAGAAATCTCAATTTCACAATATTGACCCTTTATATGACTGGTTTTGTGTAGAAATCTCAATTTCACAATATTGACCCTTTATATGACTGGTTTTGTGTAGAAATCTCAATTTCACAATATTGACCCTTTATATGACTGGTTTTGTGTAGAAATCTCAATTTCACAATATTGACCCTTTATATGACTGGTTTTGTGTAGAAATCTCAATTTCACAATATTGACCCTTTATATGACTGGTTTTGTGTAGAAATCTCAATTTCACAATATTGACCCTTTATATGACTGGTTTTGTGTAGAAATCTCAATTTCACAATATTGACCCTTTATATGACTGGTTTTGTGTAGAAATCTCAATTTCACAATATTGACCCTTTATATGACTGGTTTTGTGTAGAAATCTCAATTTCACAATATTGACCCTTTATATGACTGGTTTTGTGTAGAAATCTCAATTTCACAATATTGACCCTTTATATGACTGGTTTTGTGTAGAAATCTCAATTTCACAATATTGACCCTTTATATGACTGGTTTTGTGTAGAAATCTCAATTTCACAATATTGACCCTTTATATGACTGGTTTTGTGTAGAAATCTCAATTTCACAATATTGACCCTTTATATGACTGGTTTTGTGTAGAAATCTCAATTTCACAATATTGACCCTTTATATGACTGGTTTTGTGTAGAAATCTCAATTTCACAATATTGACCCTTTATATGACTGGTTTTGTGTAGAAATCTCAATTTCACAAAATTTACCGTTTATATGACTGGTTTTGTGTAGAAATATCAATTTCACAAAATTGACCCTTATATGACTGGTTTTGTGGTCCAGGGTCACACACAAACACATATATAGGCCTACTTCGACGCCATGTGTGTGTGTGAGTGTTATATTTTTATTATTGAAAGAAATAATAGGCTCTCAGCCTGACTTTTCTCAACGCCAAAAAAAGTGGGAGAGAGATATTAATGTGAAGAGGCAGTATCTCACAGATAGCCTAATTAAAGTCGATTATCATTTTAGTATTATTCACAGCCCATGATCTGGTTCATTATAGCGCTCTTAATCTTTATAGCACAGTTGGCATTGTGAATGCTGAGTCTGCTCTGACTCCTTATCATTCCACCTATCCACCCCCTCTCTTTCTTTCGTAGAAATCTCAATTTCACAAAATTGACCCTTATATGACTGGTTTTGTGGTCCAGGGTCACACACAAACGCCATGTGTGTGTGTGAGTGTTATATTTTTATTATTGAAAGAAATAATAGGCTCTCAGCCTGACTTTTCTCAACGCCAAAAAAAGTGGGAGAGAGATATTAATGTGAAGAGGCAGTATCTCACAGATAGCCTAATTAAAGTCGATTATCATTTTAGTATTATTCACAGCCCATGATCTGGTTCATTATAGCGCTCTTAATCTTTATAGCACAGTTGGCATTGTGAATGCTGAGTCTGCTCTGACTCCTTATCATTCCACCTATCCACCCCCTCTCTTTCTTTCAGTCTCCAACGTGTGCTGTGCCCTCATGATGCCACGGCGCTCGCTAATCCGCTCTCCGCGGCGCACATGCTCAGTACCGATCACTGTGGAAATCTGTAATGGCTGCGGGATGATGTGATACGAGTCCAGGTGCCGCGCCGCGTCTCTTTGGTAGGAATGCCATTTCCCTGAGACCGCCAACCACTCCATTCATTCCTCCGTCAACATGGTTGACATCCGACAGAAGAATAAAGGTCGGACATAGTAGTCGCGAGCTCTTGCGAGAGTCATAATCGTGTAAGTTGAATGTTTATTTTGTCTGTTAAATTGCGGTTCATTGAGCGGGGGATCCGGACATGAAGTGTTTGTTATCCGAGGTCACTAACGTACAGTTCATAGCAGCATCTCTAGAGAGAGAAGGCACACATATAACATTAGCCGCGTACTATATAGCTATAGCTGCATCCAAGTAGCGTTATATATATCGTGCGATTAGAGGCCAGAGATATCTGACTATTTCCGTGCAGGTTTCCTTTTATTACAGACGTTTAACACCGGTTATCACAGCGTGCTAAAGCAGCGTAACGTTACAGACAACATTGGCTACAACATGTCCTCACGTTTGTTGTTTTTATTTGCGTCAATAGCACGGAAAACGAAGTTATTTTTGTAGACGCGCTTATTTAGTACTGCAACAGGCTCATTGTGAGATCAGCCAGTCACACACAATGAATTTTCAATGAGCTCGGAGTTACTATAGTTCATTTCGACAGCTCCCGCTGGCTTAGAAAATACATCATCAGGGTAAGTTACGTTTCGTTGGGGTTTGGGGTCGAGGGGCCGAGCTACTTTCTAAATAAAGCTTAAACCTCCCGAAGGAAGTCCAAACAACAAGTTGGGATGATAAAAGTATTTATTTTTACAGACAAGTATACGTTTTAAGGGATAAAGGCGGGGCATAGAGGAGAAACAATAATGTACAGTATGTGAAAATAATGTGTTTTTTGAACATTAAACCACATAAACACATTTCATTACACCAAATACACAAAATAATATTCTTTTTAGCAGCATCATATGACCCCTTTAATAAAAGAATCTTACATATTGTGCCTTTAACGCCATTAAACTTCAGTACACAATGCTGCCACATTTTACATTTAGTCTGTCTAATTATAACCTAGATATAAACTTTTTGTATTCGCTGATGTATTCAGTTGAGAAATAATTCTCTTAATCAGTATTTTGGTCTTGTATTCAGAGCTTTTCTTGTGCATAGGGCTTGTCTCAGACAACACCTTTTCCATTAACCTCTCTCTCTCTATCTCTGTTTGTTGCTCTCTATCTCATATCAGTGCAGTGCTGGTGTGTGATAGTGCCAGTGAATTGCGTGTGGTTGGCGGTAGTCAGGAGTGATGGCTGTGAAGGAGCGGGTGGAGGCGGTGCTGAATGTGGGCCTGCGGGTCCCCAGTATCATGTTACTAGAGGTGCTGTACCGCTGGGATGTCAGCTCCTTCTTCCAGAAGATCCAGAGAAGCAGCCTCAACAACAACCCCCTCTTCCAGTACAAGTACCTGGCCCTCTACCTTCACTATGTGGGTGAGTAACAAACCTATTTTATGTGATGTTTCTGGGTTATACCATGATATACAAATAAGGAACCATTCAGTGTCAGGAAATGCTCATCAAGGTACGATGGTATTACCATCTCTGCACCATGGTACTTTTTGTGAGGGAATAAATGGCTTTCATCTGTAGATCATTTTACTTGTTTCCCTGTTCCCTTCCTGCTACTTAAAACACTCTTGTGGAAATTTGTAGCTATTTTACATTTTGGTGAATTTGTGGCTAATTTGCATGAATCTTATATGTTTTTGTACGATCTGCTTACGCATAATTGGATTTTTGTATGTTTCTATACAAATCGCTTCATATAAATTCATATGAAATCACCTCCTTGTAAAATAGTTGCATTTTCTAATGCAATCTGGGGTGCGTTTCCCAAAAGCATCGTTAGCCAACTATGGTCGCTAGTTCTGTCGTTACCAACATAGTTCAACGATTCAGTGTTTCCCGAAACCATAGTTCAATTGATCATTCACAAACAGTGTCGCAAACTTGCGTGGTAGGAACTACAGCTCTTGACCTGTGGTTAGAAGTATAGTTTCTTGTTAGTAAGACATATGGACTTAAATAAATTATGCTCTTGGGCACAATAAGAAAGCTAACATGCAGTACAATCTATATCTTCCATTCTATTTAAATATATATAAATTTTAATCGATACATTTTAGCGTGTCCTCAATAAGCGCCGTTTTTGAAGAGTGCGCATGTGCATAAATGCATAAGGGAACCCTGGAGTATGACGTAGGAAACCCGCGATGAATCAAAGATCAAATAAAGCAAAATGACAGGGAACAAAACATAGTAAATTAGTAATCAGGTGCCATGTTCAATACAGTAGCATCTCAGAGATCTCGAATCAATTAATTAGCAGAAGTTATTACTCCACCACATGCGTGTGATGTCATTAACAACGGCCCTAAATTGTTGAACTAATATGGTTCAAACGACGGAGATGCGACAACAATGCATCGTACTATGGTGGTTAATCAGTGAGCTACGTCGTTGTATGGGAAACGCACCCCTGGTTGGCTAAATCATACCTACAGTCGTGGCCAAAAGTTTTGGCAGGGACATACAATTTGTGTTTTGCAAAGTTTGCTGCTTCAGTATTTGTAGATTATTTTTCCACATGTTTCTATGGTATACTGAAAAACAATGATAAGTATATCATAAGTTTTAAAGGCTTTTATTGGCAAAAAAATATAATGAGTCAATATTTACAGTGTTGCTATTGTTCTTCATAACCTCTGCAATTCGCTCTGGCATGCTGGATATTAGCTTCTGGGCTAAATCCTGACTGATGGTGATCCAGTCTTGCCTTATTAGTTCTTGGAGTTGATCACAATTTGTGGGCTTCTGCTTGTCCACTCACCTTTTGAGGACTGACCACAGGTTCTCTATGGGCTTGAGATCCGGGGAGTTGCCTGGCCACAGATCCAAAATTTCAATGTAATGATCTTCAAGCCACTTCTTTATCACTCTTGCTTTGTGACATGGTGCTCCATCATGCTGGAAAATGCACGGATCATCGCCAAATTGCTCATGGATCATTGGAAGAAGTCGCTCTTGCAGGATGTTTGGATACCATTCTTTATTCATGGCAGTGTTTTTGGACAGATTTATGAGAGAGCCCACTCCCTTGGTTGAAAAGCAACCCCACACATGGATGACCTCAGGATGCTTCACTGTTGGCACAACACAAGACTCATGGTAGCGTTCACCTTTTCTTCTCCGAACAATCGATTTTCCAGATGTCCCAAACAGTCAGAAAGGAGCATCATCAGAGAAAATAACTTTGCACCAGTCTTCTACTTCCTGCAGAATTTCAGTCTGTCCTTGACGTTTTTCTTGGAGAGAAGTGGCTTCTTTGCTGCCCTTCTTGACACCAGGTTGTTGTCCAAAAGTCTTGGCCTCACTGTGCGTGCAGATACTCTCACACCAACCTGCTGCCATTCCTGAGCAAGCTCTGCACTGCTGGTGACACGTTTCTGTAGCTGACTCCTCAGGAGGAGATGGTCCTGGCGCTTGCTGGACACTCTGGGATGTCCTGAAGACTTCTTCACTGCAGTCAAACCTCTCTCCTTGAAGTTCTTGATGATCCAGTAAATTGTTCTTTCAGGTGCAATATTCTTTGTAGCAATTTCCTTGCATGTGAGGCCATTTAGATGCAAAGCGATGATGGCTGCACGTGTTTCTTTGGAGGTAACCATTGCTAACAAGAACACAATGATTGGAAGCACTTCTTCCATCCTTTTATAGCAATCAGTCTGCTCTTTCAAACTCATTCACACTTTCACATGTGCTGCTGATATGATTAGTCAGTTAATGTTAGCTGGTCATTTTGTGTCAGGATCAAAAGACTGAATTTTTAATTTTTATTTTTTTTTGTGAAGCGTTAATTTTTTGGCCAATTAAGCTTTTAGCTAGGGTTGGGCGATAATTCGATAACGATAATTATCGTGATATAATTTTCCTCGATAAAACGATATGAAGAGTTCGATAAATGTTCGATATAATGTTTATGCACCAAAAGCGGAACGAAACAGCGCGACTCATTTGATTCGCGCTACACGGACCGTTTATCCGCTCGGATCAAAGTTCAAACTGCCGCTGGCGCATTTGTATTTGTTGAAAGTGAAACCTAAAAAAAAGAAAGCAAGCTTTCGGGAGCTTCAGCAAATGCACGCGATCACAGATTGCACGCTTTCCAGCCTAAACAACCCCCCACTTGAAATGTAAAAAAGATTTTGGCCATCTAAATCATTCATCCCACACTATCAACAGGCGCATCATGTAGGCTTACACTTCTTGTACTTCGTTTGGGCACCACAAGGTGTCACTGTGGCCTCAAAGCTTACCCCTCGCCTACTCTGGCTCGATTGCTATTCCTGAGGTAAAACACGCCCTTCTAATTACCCTACGGACAAAGAAATGTAGAAATAAATAAATACGTAAATAAATATATAAATGTGAAAATAAATAAAAGAAAAAATAAATAAATGTGGGAAAAAATTATGGAAGCCCGTTTCGAAGCGCTTGAATTCAGCGATGAACACAAATGACTTGGCGAGTTAAACTAGTTTAAAACCAAACAGGAGCAACACTGTGTGCAACGAGACAGTGTTTGATGGCAAATCGCCATCATTTACCATGGATTTACTGTAGTAACACTCACTGCACCATGCTATTGTGGCAGAAATGTGGGATATTCACACTGAATTTTATTAAAAGAATAATGGTATATACTTGTAGCATGTATTTGTGATTTAAGCTATAGCATGTGTGCATTTATACTGAATGTTTTGACTACTGTTTTTCATACAAATAGGCTACCTAAAAACCATATAGTTATATTTTTACCATGGTATTGAGGTGCTATATGGTGGGGTTTTAACTGTGTTTATCATGATTTAAATGTATGCTACTATGAGAGACCAATGCTTAATTAAAAAAATAAATGAAGGGGGAAGTCGTGGCCTAATGGTTAGAAAGTCGGCCTCGTAACCCAAAGGTTGCGGGTTCGAGTCTTTGGTCCCGCAGGAATTGTAGGTGGGGGGAGTGAATGCACAGCGCTCTCTTCCACCTTCAATACCATGACTTAGGTGCCCTTGAGCAAGGCACCGAACCCCCAACTGCTCCCTGGGCGCAGCAGCATAAATGGCTGCCCACTGCTCCGGGTGTGTGTTCACTGCTGTGTGTGAGCACTTTGGATGGGTTAAATGCAGAGCACTAATTCCAAGTATGGGTCACCATACATGTCGCGTCACATCACTTTCACCATATAAAACTGAGTTTGCTATTTTTGTTTGCATTTTTAAAGATGTTACTGATTTTGATAATGAACAAAAATGTACCTCTGCATCCTAACTCAAGCTACTAAAGCTAAATGTGCATTTCTAAGAGACAAAAAGTGATATTATTATTATTAATATTATCAGGCAACCCAAACCTGCTTCTTGATTTGAAACAATATCACTCATTAGAACATGCAGAAACTAAGAAATCAATTTTTCTATTTAGATATTTATTTTGTTAAGGAAAATTAATGGTCTGGTTTCTACAACTTTCACTTTGGAGCAAAAATCTGGCTTTAAACTTGAAAGAAATAAAGATTTGACATTTATCGTGATAATTTTTTTGGCCATATCGCCCAGCCCTACTTTTAGCAATTATTTAAAATGCATCTGATTACTCTACACAATAATCTAGAAACAATGTGAATGAACACCACAACAGCTTAAGCAGCAAACTTTGCAAAATACAAAATGTATGTCACTGCCAAAACTATTGGCCATGACTGTATGCTGTTAAAAAATTTACATTTTATCAGTTCTTGCTTTCCCTAGAAGTTGAACCCATGACCTTGGCTTTGTACTGTTTGAGCTACAGAAAGCATGGTTTGTTATAGTTCAGGGCAGCCAAGAAGTCTCTGAAGATTCTTTGCAATTGGAATAGGAGAGAAGCTTTGTTCTAGAGGTCAGCCAGGTGGTCTGTTCATTACATTACTCCAGATTGCCACTCATTTGAGTAATGGTGGCACAGGCAGCAAGATGATTAAGTGGAAAATGGAAAAAACCTAAATGAGCTGGCAAAAACCTCAAATGCAAAAGAAAAATCAAATGAAAATAACCCATTCAAACCTATTTCTCACTGTTTATTTACCCTGTGGTCCTGCTAACAATGACAGAGTCAGAGTCGACTGATTCAGGCCACAGGCCTCTCTCAGCCCCCTGTCCTGAGTTTTAAAAAGACTCAGTGGAGCGTAGCATCAGCCCCCATTCATCTGCTGCACACATCCCAACACATGCATCTCATGAGTTATTCACAAGGATCGTGCTGTGTTGATGTTTGTGAAACTCTTTTTGTTGCGAATGACTTTATTTTACCCCTTTCTCAGTTGTTCACATTTGTTTTTCTATCTGAAAGGGTTTCCGACTTCTAGAGCATGTTTTTAGGTTTCATTTCATTTTGTTTGTAAGAGACTTTAGTACAACTTCACCCACATAACCCCATGTTTTAATGGTTTATAAACTTTAAAGCCACAGACTCCATGAAAACTGGCTTTTGGAGCAGATGTTTGTGTAGTACCCAAAGGAACAAACCCTAATGACCCTGATTTGCCTGTATGTGTGTGTGTGGTCATGCGCTATGCCCATGTGGCTGTTATTTACCCTGGAGAGGAGGCTTTTGAGGTTACATGCGGATGTGTTTGTACAATAAGTGTGGCAGCTTCTGGTAATGACTCTAGAACACAGACTAACACCCAGCAAATTGCAAAACAATACGGCACACTGTACATCTAGTTACAGAATAAAAAGTAATTGTTTTGAATGAATACACTTTGTAATTTGTGCCAATGGCATTATGCTCATTGTTTATCTAATAATTTATTTAAAATGCAATTTATACATACAGTGACTTGACTTGACTGTATTAACGTTCAATTTTTTTTTTTATATTTTCATTATTTTTGACTTGTTTATTAATATCTCCTTAAAACTGCTACTTTGCATATTGATGTTACAAATCGTTTGTCCATTGAATCAGTCATATGGAAACAACATTCAGAAACATACTGAATAAAAAATCTCTACAATATTGTAATGTTTATGAATTAATCCTTCATTCCTTCATTATATTTGTTAAAAAACCTTTTTAAAAATTAAATATATTTTAAATTAAGTTTATGAAACCATAATAAATACATATGAAACCAAAATAAATCAAAGATTACATTTTTGAAAATGCTGCACATATGTTTTAAACTTATTTTTAAATTATTTTTTCTTTTTATGACATTCACCTTTTTATTAAACATAACATTCCCTTTCCACAATAACTGTCTAAAATACCCACATGTAGTAGATTAAGTGTATTCACAACAATAAATGAATAATTTACAACAAACAGACATGATTTGTTTTTCTCGGTTATTGCACAAACAAAGCAGCAGAAAACAATTCCATTTTCCATCTCTCCAGTGCGCTTTATTAGCCTTTGCTTAGAAGCAATGACTAGGTGTTGACATTTCAGAGCTACCGCTAGCAGGACCATTACTGGTGTTCTGTTTAATAGAGATTCAGCAGCTTCTGTTCTTGGCTGCAGCTTTGTTTTGCAGGTGTAACTTGTCCAGTGTTGGTGGTGCTACAGTACCCTCAGGACCCCCTGCTGAATGGGGGACGGAGTCCAAGTACATTAGCTCCCACAGGTGAAAAGTGCTGCTGTCAGGAGAAACTTTGGTGGAATTCTTTAATCTCAGGCTTGCTGGGTTTGTGTTAGTGTTAAGAAAAACCACCTGGCCCTGAGAAGCTCCTGTGGATTTTGCACTATAATGAAGTGGAAAAAATAGGCCTGTCCTGTCTCTTCAACACTTCAGTTTCAAAATATGACACTGCAGGGCTATTAGAACTAATAGAGATGGCCTTCCTTAACACTAGGAGATGACATTTCTGCAGAACAACTCCACTTTTTGTTATTTTCTATATATTCTGGGCTTTAGCCCTATGATTATATTGAGGAAACGGAGCATTCTCCATCCAACCCTTTTTTACGATACATATATATAGGAGAAGATAAATTACAGTGAGTTTGTTTTGGCTGAAAACACTACAGCAGATAGGTTAAATTGAGACATGGAGAACATCTACTGTCAGCAAGATCACGGGCACTTTCCGTCTTTACTGCCTATATATGAGCTGTCTTTCAACATTTTATCCAACCACAAACCTGGGCAAGTCCTCTGCTCTTTGACCTGGCGAGAGCTTCCTCATATTTCAGCGCTAACTTTATTCCCAGGTAATTGCATTGGTTCAAGCTAGTGTGTCAGCATACTTCACATTAATCAGTACTGAGATAAACTTTGTGTCTTCAATCCAAGTAGAATATTTCCAATGTGTTGTATTTCTCCTGTGTTCTAGACAGTGGAGTATGGTGCATGTTTTTATATTTGTGAATGGCAGAAGTGAACTGGAGAGGATGAGTGTTGAACGTCATATAAACAGTTACGCAACAGGAGGGATCAAAATGGTTTGGCAGTGGAGTAATGAGAGCTTAATCTGTGCATGGCAAAAGCCTTAATCTCCCGCCTCATCTTGTCTACACACACTCGTATGAACACACAGACACGTCAGCGTGAGCCAGTGAATGTCAGTCCGTTGAGGGTTGACTGTATAAAAACAGTTCGTGCTGCACTGTATTTGTTTTGTCCTATCGTATCTATCATATGTTGTTGCCTTATTAAAAAATATGCTATACATTTAAAATAAATGTATTTAAATTTTATAGTATATACTTGGATAGAAATACATTCATGAATGTTTTTAATGAATGGATTTTATAATAATACAAATAGCAATGTGTAAACAATGTAGACTACTAAAACTACTTTTTATATTTGCATTTTGCATGCTGTTTGTTTCATATGCTTTTTTTTTTTTTAAATAGTAGGAAGTGGTATATTCTGCACACTGAACAGTATGCTAGTATTCTGTTCTGAGCATAGCCAAAGACTCTTTATGCAGGTGTGACTATCAATGAATTGGATATCCGGATTCAGTCAGTGAGCTCTGGCTGTGTGACCAATAGCAATGTGTAAACAATGTAGACTACTAAAACTACTTTTTATATTTGCATTTTGCATGCTGTTTGTTTCATATGCTTTTTTTTTTTTTTTAAATAGTAGGAAGTGGTATATTCTGCACACTGAACAGTATGCTAGTATTCTGTTCTGAGCATAGCCAAAGACTCTTTATGCAGGTGTGACTATCAATGAATTGGATATCCGGATTCAGTCAGTGAGCTCTGGCTGTGTGACCTCCTTTTGACAGTGAATGGACTCTCTCTGCTGGTCTGAGAGATATTGAGAGAGATGTGGCCTCAGAGGCCCTTCTGTGTGCTTGACAGCATCCTCACATAGCGGTCTAACAGCAGTCTCATTCTTTATCCCTCTCTCTTTCAGGCTACATTCTGAGTCTGGTTCTGCTCACCCTGCCCCGACAGCACCTGGTGCAGCTCTACCTGTATGTGCTCACTGCTCTGCTGCTGTTTGCTGGTCACCAGATCTCTAGGTGAGCGTTTAGGACTTTAGAAATAGAAAGAGATTGACAGAAAAGCTGCTCCCACCAGAACAACCCTGATAGCCACTAAAATTCCCTTAAAAACACTGTCATTTGCCATTCAACCAAGAGAGAATCCATCATGCATTTTGATTCAGTCTATTTTATAGAATATGGTTGATTATATTTGTTTACACTTATCTTTGTTCGTTACAAAATGGGACTGACCCACTTAAGACCCTAACTCTAACCTTAAAGGGATAGTTCACCCAAAAATTTAAATAACCCCATAATTTACTCACCCTCAAGCCATCCTAGGTGTATATGACTTTCTTCTTTCAGACAAATACAATCAGAGTTATTTTAAAAATGCCCTGACTTCTCCAATCTTTATAATTAGGGGTGCACATAAGTGGTATGCAGGTGCGCATGTGTGACCAAAATAAAAAACTGTGTTACTACGCTGTGTAAACCGTATTGACCCGAATATAAGACGATGCTTTTTTCTTGGAAATACATTTGAAAAAACGCGGTCGTCTTATATTCAGGGTCTAGACTTTGACATGTCAATAATACACCCACAACAATAGGTGGCGTCAAATACGCATAAAACGAGTGTGCCATGAAATACGTAATGTAATGTGTGTTGTAAAGATCGCGAGTAAAACCTTACAGCTGCATGAGTCGTGACTGTCACGTTAACCTGATGGGACCAAACTCCCTTTGTGATTTAAAAAAGTAAGACAGTACCCAGATTTGAAGACTACAGTAAGATTTAACTTCTACTGTTAATAAGATTTTGGTAGGCTACTATTAGATGGATAGCCTAAATGTCCTAATTCAGATGGGCTACCTGTTTTTTTTAATGGTATATCAAAAAGTGTATATTTTTTAAATGTGATTGTTGGTACATTTTACCAGTTTTTACCATTCTTTCAAAACAAAAATTAAAATAGGACAAATATGCAGTATGAAAATAATTGAAGATAAAATGTGTTTTACTGTGGAAAAAAAACAAAATTTGTTTTTTAAAAAGCCTTTTTCCAAAAGGTACATCTGGAAAAAGGGGGGTCGTCTTATAATCAGGGTCGTCTTATATTCGGGCCAATACGGTAAGTTCAGACTACTCATTTGCGTACCGACATGGTTGACATCTGTTAATGCACAATTACCATTTTAGATCGACTACCTTTAATACTGTATACGATTTCCATTCTAACTGAAAGCATAAATCTAGGCTATTTGCTGCTGTTTTCAAAGCACAATGCAAAACTGTGACATTTCATTCACTGACACTCTTCACTCAGCAGCACTAAACCCGACAGCACATATACTTACTTACTGGCAAGTTTGAAAATGATGAAAATTCATATGTATAAAAAGGAGTAAATATTAGCATTTTATTTTTGTTTACTAAAAAATTTTTGTGTTTTTATTATTTTGTTTATTTAACCAAATTTGGGTAGTTTTTAACTCACGGACTGGGATCTGACCTCATCCTCTTCCTGTCTCGCGGATCAGGATGATGCCTGAGGCGCCGGGTCCAACACAATCTTGGGTCGGGGTCCCTGGCGCTTAGGAGGAGGGTAGCTTTTGGCCGAGCGAGAGCGTCCCCGCGTTTACTGCGCTTTAGCGGGCTGAACAGCGGGGGCGGCAGGTGCTGGTTTCGCAGGCTGCTGAGTCGGTGCAGATTTAGGGCGAGCTGACGCAGCAGCGAAGCTGGAGCGCTTAGGCAGGAAATGTCGCATAGCCTGGGACGATTTCTGTGCCTCTGTGAAGCGTTCAGCGAATCCTTCAACCGCCGGGCCGAAAAGACCTTTGGGAGAGACTGGAGCATTGAGGAAGGAGATCTTATCCACGTCCTTAATCTCCGTCAGCATCAACCATAAATGGTGCTCGAGCACCACAAGGCTGGCCATCGATCTCCCGATCGCCTGGGCGGTGGTCTTGGTGGCGCGTAGAGCCAGGTCGGTCGCACTCCTCAGATCCCTGAGGGTAGCGGGGTCCAGGCCAGACTTGTCGGAGGATGCTAGGATTTTGGCCTGGAAGACCTGGAGGAGCGCCATAGAATGAAGCGCCGAAGCCACCTGTCCAGCTGAGGTGTAGGTGCGTCCAGCGAGAGCTGAAGTGGTCCTACACGGCTTAAGACAGGTGAGCGGCCAGAGATGCGCGGCCACTGACTCATCTAGGGGAGGTTGCTTATCGTACCCTTTTTCTCCAGCGCCGTCTATGGAAGTGAGGGCGGATGAAGAAGCAGTACGGAGGCGGCCGGAGTAGGGAGCGCACCACGATCTGGTGAGCTCGTCGTGGACCTATACTTACCAGAAGTATAACGGAGGACAGAGAAGCACACTGAAGAGGGGCCTGGTGGCGCCCCGGCAGGAACCATTCATCCAAACAGCAGCGAGAGGGCTCCTCTGGCAGAGACCACTCTAAACCCAGCTCTTCAACTGCTTTGGAGAGGATACGGAGAAGCTCGGCATGCATCCCACCTTTAGTGGCGCTGGGCGTGGACGATGGTGAGGGGGTGGGGTCATTCACCGAGCCCAACAGCTCCTCTGCATCCGACGCTGCTAATGACATGCTGTCATCAAGCAGCTCGTCCTCACTTCCCCCGAATGAGATCAGGTCGCTCGCACCAGCAGAGGGACGCTGATCAGACCGGGAGAAAAGGACGGGGGAATACTCTCTCTGCAGCGAGAGCAAGGCACACGGGATCTGGGCCAGCGTGAGCTCGCTCGTAGCCGATCGCTCGTAGCCGATCGCTCGACCCCTTTGCCCTGCTGTTTTTTCCTCACAGGTCCCTGGGAGGAAGAAAACGGGAGGGAGTGGAGGGCGGAGTTGCTCTCTGAAAAGAAAGCGATCCGTGAGCGGAGAGAGGCGAGGTGAAGCCCTCGCAATGGGAGCAAATGGCTCCCGTGAGCGCAGCTTCCGCATGGGATTTCCCCAAGCAGGAAACGCACTCTGTGTGGCCGTCATCGGCGTGCAGGGGGGACCCGCACGAACCGCAGTAACGGCGTGGCATTTGCAACAACGCCAATTTGCTCCATTAGAAGCTCTTTTAGAAATGGCCGGATGGTGGCAGGGGAACCGGACCGGAACTGTTGTGTCGCTGGAGCGGCAGAGAAGCAGGTCAGCCGTGCTGAGAGGTCCTGATTCCAGCTGCGAAGGCGGGTCAACGGCAAGCGGCTTCGGATCAACTTGAGGACGTAGAGTCGTCGCTGAAGGAGAAGAAATCTGAGAATCCTGTGGCGAATGCCTGCTTATATAGCCAGATGCCCCGCCCATTCTGGCGGGCTTCGTCGCCATAGGCTCGTGCAGCTCCACTGCCGAGCCATTGGTTCGTTTTTTTAAGCACTGCACGAACCAATGGCCGTGGAATTTCACTGCCTGAATGAAAAGGCTTCAGTTCAGGAGAAAAAAGGCTTTTTTCCCATATGTGTCTTAAGCAAGACGCAGTACGCGTGAAGTATCGAAAGGGAACTACCCAAACATTGGGCTGTTACATTTGACCCAGGAGCTGGGTAACACAAAAACTACCCAAACACTTAAAAAAGAACCCAAAAAATGACCCAAAAGACTCAACCCAGCATTTGAGTTAAAAAAAGAACCCAGGATTTTTTTTAGAGTATTTAAAAAAAAAACTATATAAATGAAGAGCAATATTATTATTATTATTATTATTATTATTATCACTACTATTAATTACATTTTTTAATAGTTATATTTAATGGGTCATACTCAGTACTACTGCACTACTGTGCAGTGTGAGAATCAAACAAATCTCCAGGTGCTCTTATGAGAACCAGGCTGAAAAAAGTATGTGCACCCCTGATTATAATGGCAGTGAATGGGGGTCGAGACTGAAACCCCAAAAATGGAGCCAACCATCATAAAAATTACTCAACACGGCTTCAGGGGGTTAATAAAGACCTTCTGAAGAGATGTCCTACGTCATTGGCTGGAACACCACTCTCTCGTGAACACACACGTATGACAATTAACAGAGGCTAGAGATTATGGTTTATAAAGTTTTAAATATGGACATTTTTCTTACACAAACGCATACATTTGCTTCAGAAGGCCCCCCCAGAGCTGTGTGGAGCACTTTTTATGATGGGTGGATGCACTTTTTTGGGCTTCAAAATCTCAACCCCCATTCACTGCCATTATAAAGCTTGGAAGAGCCAGGACATTTTTCATATACAGTAACTCCGATTGTATTTACATATAGACATTTAGCAGATGCTTTTATCCAAAGTGACTTACAAATTAGGACAATGGAAGCAATCAAAATCAACAAAAGAGCAATGATATGCAAGTGCTATAACAAGTCTCAGTTAGCTTAATGCAGTACACGTAGGATGAGTAAATCATGGGGCAATTTTTAATTAAAGGTGATAGGTCACTCAAATTATTATATTATATTATATTATATTTATTATATTATTAAAGAACATTTATTGAAATAGAAAAAAAAAGTGTCACCTTTGATCCTTGCTAAATATTAATTTCTTTAAAAAAGTTTACGGGCCCCAAAGTAGTGTATGTTATATTATGTTATTATTTACTTGCCTTCATGTCTTTCTAACCTCTATGCTGTTGTTTCTACATGGAATATAAAAGTTTATTATTTTGTATTTTAATACCTTTAATACTATTTGAACAATAATAATTAATTAATAAGCTAATTAATAATTTGATTAATAAAGAAACTAGCTAAAGGAGGTTTTTTTTTGTACTTCTATTAACATTTATATTTAGACATTTAAATAATTGTGCACAAAAAGATGTGTTTTTAATGCTTTGAAGGTAGAAAGAACATTAAGATCTGAGCAGGCATTATGACAGACTGGAGGCTCCTCTGCCATGCTCATGGGTCCGCGATTATAGTGTGGTGTTTTGCGTTTGACAGTTGGCTGTTTAGTGTCAGATTAAGAGAGAGCTTTTAGCACATTTCTCAGCATAATATGTGTCTGTAGAAAAAGTAGTGGCTGCTCAAATTAAGATCACCCAAGTGTGGCAAAGTCATTACTGCCAGCTCGTAACTTACCTGCCTCCCTCTATTCCCTCTCTGGCTCCTTAAACTGAGCAGAGCCTAGCTCAGATAAGAATTTAAGCAAGCTTTGTAAATGTTTATTCAGGTATATGTGTGTCATATATTACATCCATTCGGTCCTCTAAATGAGTTAATCTCCAAACTTGTCTGAGTCATGTAAGAAAAAAAAAATTATGATGTTGCAAAGCCATTTCAATAATCAAAATATTCACAAAAAGCTATTTTAGGGCTTTAAAAGTGCACAGCTTTTATGGTCCATATTTTTTCACATGATCCTTCAGAAATCATTCTAATATGCTGATTTGCTACTAGAGAAACATTTCTTATTGTTATCAATGCTGAAAACAATTGTGCCTCTTAATTTCTTGTGAAAATCCTGTTACATTTTTTTCAGGATCCTTTGCTTAATAGACAGTTCAAAAGAACAGTGTTTATTTAAAATACTAATCTTTTGCCACATTATAAATGTGTTTCGTGTCAAAATATCTGCAAAAATGTCAACAATTCTGTGTTTTTCTGTCAATATGGGGTGCTGTGTGTACATTGAGGAAAAAAAATTAACTTAAATGATTTTAGCAAATGGCTGCAATATAACAAAGAGTGAAAAATGTAAGGGGGTCTGAATACTTTCCGTACCCACTGTATATATATTATTAATAATAATAATGAATACATTTTAATAATTTGAGTAAATGTGAAGTAAGTGGTGATTGGACCAATTTCTACATTATATATAATCAGCATTTAAAAAAAAAAATTTTTTTTGAAGAAAGTCTCTAATACTCACTAAGGCTGCATTTATATGATTGAAATATTGTGATTTAGTGTGTGTGTGTGTGTGTGTGTGTGTGTGTGTGAAATATTGTGAAATGTTATTATAATTTAAAATGACTTTTCTTTTTTCATATATGTTAAAATATAATTTATTCCTGTTATGCAAAGCAAAAATAAAACGATATGTAAAAAATATTAATAAATAATTACTAATATATTTATTTATTTATTTATTTATAAAATGGTATAATTGGGCCAATTCTTACATTATATATAATCAGCATTTCATCGGCCTTTCGCCACCCTGCTATCTAGTCAATGGTTCTGAAAAACCTATTACAGGTGTGTATAGGAGTTGTGATTATTGCTAATTTGTGTAATGTGAAATTCAACTGTCCCTCTGTTTTAAACTCTTTGACTCTCAGGTGCTGGGCACGCTGCTGATCTACGTGCTCTTTATGGTGGAGGAGCTCCGCAAGGCTCCGGTGGAGAACATGGATGATGTCATCTACTGGGTTAACGGCACCTACAGGCTGCTGGAGTTCCTGGTTGCGCTGTGCGTGGTGGCGTACGGTGTGTCGGAGACGGTGTTTGGGGAGTGGACTGTGATGGGCTCCACCATCGTACTCATCCATTCTTACTATAACGTGTGGCTGAGGGCCCAGCTGGGCTGGCAGAGTTTCCTGCTCCGCAGAGATGCTGTCAACAAGATCAAGAGCCTGCCTACAGCTTCTCACCAACAACTCCAGCAGCACAATGACATCTGTTCCATCTGCTACCAGGTGTGTGTGTGTGTGTGTGTGTGTGTGTTTGTGATGGATGCCCAGGTACATTCTTTAGCATGTGTCTTCTTGTGTATTTCTGTGCTAGATTGATGGTGGGTTCAGTTAGGGTGCATCACTATTGTTCATACAATCCTCTAAGTATTAAACTTATGCGCATAATTTCTGTTGTATTATATACATGGACATATCTAATATTGCATGGCTTGCTGAGGAAGGACTTTTCCAAACGATTGGATTTAAGATTTCTTTGTTTGGTGGACAATATTGTAGACTTACTTTGAAGGAGCCTTATCCTGAGACTAGAATATAATAGAGATTTAGGGGTGAGCTGTTTTGACTTTGGTCAGTAAGCAACCACCTAATAACCACATTCATAACACACTAGAAAGAAACCATAAAAAACATCCACTTAAACACTTTAGAATATTAACATATGAACCACCTGGGAACCATTCACAACTCCTTAGCATTAGGGGAGCAGGTACTATATAATTTATCAGCTGATATTTGATTTTTATCATTTGTTAGTATGAGTTAAAATTCAATATATATAGATTAATATTTAAAATTGATTTGTGAAAGGGTTTGATTACCTTACTAAAAATACATTAAACATAATTGAGTTTTATGAATAAAAATATTATTATTATTAATTACATGGATTAAAGTTTTCCGTCGCTACGAGAATTTCCGTCAATTGGAAAACATGAGGATGAAAGAAACATGTAGTGCGTTGTTGTTGTTGTTCTGCCGTCGCACCAAAAATCATCCCCACCACGGCTGCAGCTTCTCAAGTGACAACATAGTGACTTCGTTCCAGTGTTGCCAACTTAGCAATTTTGTTGCTAAATTTAGCAACTTTTCACACTGCCCTAGCAACTTTTTCTTCCAAAAGCACCAAGCAACAAATTTAGCTATTATTAAAATTTATTTGGCAATTTTTAGCAACTTTTGATAAGTGACTCAAACGATAAAAAGGCACACATTTTCCATCTAAATTACACAAAATGAGGAAACCAAAGATGCCTAGCAGTACACACATCACATGAATTAAGTTAGCTACTATTTGCAATTGCTCAATTTAATAATAATAATTGAATAATTGTTAGTTTATGATTTTGATACACCTTGTTAGTAGCTTGTGCCTGTGACTGTTGATCAGTTAGTACACTGTAAGAAAAATATCTAGAAAAATGGAAAAGGTACTAGTTATTTTCCAGGACATTATTCATTATCCATTGTAACCCTGTAACCCAAAAACACAAAATACAATGCGTAATTTAAAATGCAGGTAAAAAAAACTGTGAAAAATCAATACGGAAAATTCCTTCATATTAATATAGTAGACTGTGCCCTATTTTTACAGATATTTTCTTAGAATGTAGCATAATAACTAACTGCTAATACACTGCTTAAAACTATAATTGTTCAGCATGTGTAGTTTACTAGCTAAAAAAACAACTACTTTAAGTGTAGGCCCTAATTGTTCAAAAACGTGTAAGTGTTCAATAATTCAATGTTGTATTTAAAAATACAGGATCTACGTGCTCTTTATGGTGGAGGAGCTCCGCAAGGCTCCGGTGGAGAACATGGATGATGTCATCTACTGGGTGAATGGCACCTACAGACTGCTGGAGTTCCTGGTTGCGCTATGCGTGGTCGCGTACGGCGTGTCGGAGACTGTGTTCGGGGAGTGGACCGTGATGGGCTCTACCATCGTACTCATCCATTCTTACTATAACGTGTGGCTGAGGGCCCAGCTGGGCTGGCAGAGTTTCCTGCTCCGCAGAGATGCTGTCAACAAGATCAAGAGCCTGCCTACAGCTTCTCACCAACAACTCCAGCAGCACAATGACATCTGTTCCATCTGCTACCAGGTGTGTGTGTGTGTGTGTGTGTGTGTGTTTGTGATGGATGCCCAGGTACATTCTTTAGCATGTGTCTTCTTGTGTATTTCTGTGCTAGATTGATGGTGGGTTCAGTTAGGGTGCATCACTATTGTTCATACAATCCTCTAAGTATTAAACTTATGCGCATAATTTCTGTTGTATTATATACATGGACATATCTAATATTGCATGGCTTGCTGAGGAAGGACTTTTCCAAACGATTGGATTTAAGATTTCTTTGTTTGGTGGACAATATTGTAGACTTACTTTGAAGGAGCCTTATCCTGAGACTAGAATATAATAGAGATTTAGGGGTGAGCTGTTTTGACTTTGGTCAGTAAGCAACCACCTAATAACCACATTCATAACACACTAGAAAGAAACCATAAAAAACATCCACTTAAACACTTTAGAATATTAACATATGAACCACCTGGGAACCATTCACAACTCCTTAGCATTAGGGGAGCAGGTACTATATAATTTATCAGCTGATATTTGATTTTTATCATTTGTTAGTATGAGTTAAAATTCAATATATATAGATTAATATTTAAAATTGATTTGTGAAAGGGTTTGATTACCTTACTAAAAATACATTAAACATAATTGAGTTTTATGAATAAAAATATTATTATTATTAATTACATGGATTAAAGTTTTCCGTCGCTACGAGAATTTCCGTCAACATGAGGATATGAGGATGAAAGAAACATGTAGTGCGTTGTTGTTGTTGTTCTGCCGTCGCACCAAAAATCATCCCCACCAGCTTCTCAACTTCTCAAGTGACAACATAGTGACTTCGTTCCAGTGTTGCCAACTTAGCAATTTTGTTGCTAAATTTAGCAACTTTTCACACTGCCCTAGCAACTTTTTCTTCCAAAAGCACCAAGCAACAAATTTAGCTATTTTTAAAATTTATTTGGCAATTTTTAGCAACTTTTGATAAGTGACTCAAACGATAAAAAGGCACACATTTTTCATCTAAATTACACAAAATGAGGAAACCAAAGATGCCTAGCAGTACACACATCACATGAATTAAGTTAGCTACTATTTGCAATTGCTCAATTTAATAATAATAATTGAATAATTGTTAGTTTATGATTTTGATACACCTTGTTAGTAGCTTGTGCCTGTGACTGTTGATCAGTTAGTACACTGTAAGAAAAATATCTAGAAAAATGGAAAAGGTACTAGTTATTTTCCAGGACATTATTCATTATCCATTGTAACCCTGTAACCCAAAAACACAAAATACAATGCGTAATTTAAAATGCAGGTAAAAAAAACTGTGAAAAATCAATACGGAAAATTCCTTCATATTAATATAGTAGACTGTGCCCTATTTTTACAGATATTTTCTTAGAATGTAGCATAATAACTAACTGCTAATACACTGCTTAAAACTATAATTGTTCAGCATGTGTAGTTTACTAGCTAAAAAAACAACTACTTTAAGTGTAGGCCCTAATTGTTCAAAAACGTGTAAGTGTTCAATAATTCAATGTTGTATTTAAAAATACAGTTATTTATATTTTAATATCATATTGTGTTATATTATTTTACAAACACATCTAAATTAACATATATAAAATATTTTCTTGTAAATATTGTAAAATATTTCCCATTCAGCTGTTCGAACAAATCAATTGAATAAATGATTCAGTGATAAAATCTGCTGGTGAATTTGGTTTCATTTTTAACGTATAATTTCAGTTATTTAAATCATTTAATATTTCAGCAACTTTTCACACTGCCCTAGCAACTTTTTCTTCCAAAAGCACCAAGCAACAAATTTAGCTATTTTTAAAATTTATTTGGCAATTTTTAGCAACTTTTGATAAGTGACTCAAACGATAAAAAGGCACACATTTTCCATCTAAATTACACAAAATGAGGAAACCAAAGATGCCTAGCAGTACACACATCACATGAATTAAGTTAGCTACTATTTGCAATTGCTCAATTTAATAATAATAATTGAATAATTGTTAGTTTATGATTTTGATACACCTTGTTAGTAGCTTGTGCCTGTGACTGTTGATCAGTTAGTACACTGTAAGAAAAATATCTAGAAAAATGGAAAAGGTACTAGTTATTTTCCAGGACATTATTCATTATCCATTGTAACCCTGTAACCCAAAAACACAAAATACAATGCGTAATTTAAAATGCAGGTAAAAAAAACTGTGAAAAATCAATACGGAAAATTCCTTCATATTAATATAGTAGACTGTGCCCTATTTTTACAGATATTTTCTTAGAATGTAGCATAATAACTAACTGCTAATACACTGCTTAAAACTATAATTGTTCAGCATGTGTAGTTTACTAGCTAAAAAAACAACTACTTTAAGTGTAGGCCCTAATTGTTCAAAAACGTGTAAGTGTTCAATAATTCAATGTTGTATTTAAAAATACAGTTATTTATATTTTAATATCATATTGTGTTATATTATTTTACAAACACATCTAAATTAACATATATAAAATATTTTCTTGTAAATATTGTAAAATTTTTCCCATTCAGCTGTTCGAACAAATCAATTGAATAAATGATTCAGTGATAAAATCTGCTGGCGAATTTGGTTTCATTTTTAACGTATAATTTCAGTTATTTAAATCATTTAATATTTCTATATTCAAAATTTTATATTTAAAACGTTAATCGCAACATGAATTTAATTGCACTCATGCCACCTCTGAGCCTCATTAAACGTCTGAAAATGTACCTTCAAGCCAATTTTGTGTTCTTCTGTCACCTCTGTAGTACAAATTAATGTTTTATTGGTACTAATTTCATATGATTGATAACTTGTTATTTGTCTTATTCTACTTCTTATTATATTGTTTTAATTAGACATTTTTAAAAAGCTTATAAACATAAATGTCTGAATTTGACAGATGATGACATACTTTTAATACATTTAGAAAAATGCCATTACAAAGGTAAAAAGAAAATGCCCCTGTTAATCACTTTGAGGCAAATATCACCTCATATCAGGAAGGCTAATTTGTGATCAGAATTTGATTATTGATCAGAAGGTGATTCTAATTTTTTTTTAAATGAAGAGGACAAGCACACCTAAAAAGAAAAGTAAGAATAGAGCCCTGCGTAAGAGTATATTAGATCCGTGCATGAGGTCTTAAAGAGACAGCAGCCTAAATAAACCTGCTGCTATCTTTCATTATACAGTGAAGACTACCCAGTGATATTTTACAGTTGAATAGATTATACTGTAGTTAGACCTAACTGAAAAAAAAACATTAATTACTGTTAATTTAATTTTGTTATTGTTTTTGTTTGTGCTATTGATTGTCATTAATTTATTTGTTCTTATTTTATTATTTACTATTTACTTGTCTTTTTAGTTAAAATAAATTCAATTCTAAGTGCATGTGATTCTTGGGTGGGGAGGGGGCGTGGTCCATGGGAAATAGTCCTGCTGGAAAAAAATCCTAGAGGAAACATTGCATGCATTTAATACAATTAGAAAAATGCCATTACAAAGGTAAAAAGAAAATGCCCCTGTAAATCACTTTGAGTCAAATATCACCTCGTAGTAGGAAGGCTAATTTTTGATCAGAATTTTTTATTATGGATCAGAAGGTGCTCCTAATTTTTTTTAAATTAGGAGGACAAGCGCTCCTAATTACAATAAGAGAAAAAACTGCTCTTAAACTGGCTGTGGAATGGGGTTTGGCAGAGGAAGATTTTTTGTTGTTGTTGATTTTTTTTATATATAAATAGCAAATTATTATATTATTATAATTAATAATGTACAAAGAAAATTATTATTATTATTACTACTACTACTACTACTACTCAACATATAGTAAACATAATAAAAAGAATTATGATAATAATAATTATATTTGTTCTTTATTATTATTGTTATGATGATGATGATGATGATGATGATGATGATTATTATTATTATTAATTATACTAATAATATAATAATTTTCCCTTGTTGGAATAATGATGAGGATGATGATGATGATGATAACTTATTATTATTATTATTATTATTATACGAACAATTTGCCATTGTTATAATATTGATGACAACAATAATTGTATTATTATTACTCAACATACATTAAACGTCATAATTGTTATCATCATCCTCATCATTATTCCAACAATTGCAAATTATTATTAGTATAATTAATTATAATAATAATAATCATAACAATAATAATAATATATGAAGAACATTTTTTATTATGTATACTATATTACTGAATACTAATAATAATTGGATTATTAATAAATTGTATTATTATTATATCAATGACAAATTATTATACTAGTATAATAAATAATAATCTTTATTTTAATGAATATTATTATTATTACTCAACATGATAAACATAAAACAAAATAATAATAAATCATAAATTATTATTTATTATACTAATAATATAATCATTTGCCATTGTTGGAATAATGATGATGAGGATGATGATGATGATAACAATTTATTATTAATAATAACGTTATTATTATTATTATTATTATACTAACAATTTGTTGTTATAATAGTAATAATTGTTATAATATTGATGATGATAACAATAATTGTATTATTATTATTATTATTCAACATGCATTAAACACAACATCAACAATAATAATAATAATAATAATTCATTTTCTTTTTAATAACTAACCTCATCTGTTCTTGAATCTAGGACATGACGTCAGCTGTGATCACCCCCTGCAGTCACCTCTTCCATGCCGGCTGCTTGAAGAAGTGGTTGTATGTGCAGGAGACCTGCCCTCTTTGCCACAACCAGCTGAAAGGCTTATCACAATCCGACTCTTCAACACAGGACGCCCCGCCACACGAGCCCCCAATACAGCCAGCAGGGGATCTGGACCCTTCACAGCATCCAGAGTCAGATTCAACCCTCCAGGTTCCCCAGCAAGACGACACCACTCTCGCTTCAGCGTCAGACCTCACGGCTGGGCTAAAAGACGACGGTGACACTCCTGCCTGCTCCTCCTCTCAATCCTAAAACCTGCCTTGAGCCATACCCAACTCCACACACTGCTGGCCAAAAGACAGTGTTACAGCAGAGGGTCTGATGGGAAACTGTCAGCCCTCTCTGTGACTGATACGTACACATGGAATGCTCCTGAGACATCTATACAATCCAAATCCTTCTACCGTCCCCCTCTCATCCAGAAAATTACAGATTCCAGAGCTCAGAAAGCTTATCTGCGGTGAAAAGAGTCATTTCACCCCTTCCACATCTGGATCTACCAAAACACCAGCTCTTCCCCACCCTTTATTACGAAACTACAATCTCCAGCGAACACCAACCTGAATGTGATCATGTGACCCTTCCTTATAGTGCTGTGATGCTCTGTAGGCACTTAGCACATATCCACTAGCACGCTCTCAGTATCCAATAGCAGTAGCCCTTCTTTTTTTGTTCTCTATTTGTTTTATTGAGAGATTATATATATACATATATGCCACTGCATTTGCACTAATGTAACATAAAGCAATGCTCCAAAGTTTGTCTTGTCTGATACCAAATATTTTGGTCTGTATGCATTGAATCAAATTATATATGAAATATATACCCATGTACAAATATATATGTAAAGGAGTTTTGATATGCAAAAGTACAGTGTTAAGCAGCATCGAGTGTCATGAAGCGCCTCAGGCTTATATGAACGCTGCGCCTCTATCGACCTCTAGTGGCGGTAGTGGGAAGTGCCTCTGGCTGTGGATAAACACTATGACCGTTTAGGAGAGTCAATTTCATTCTCATCAGTATTTGGCATTTAGCGCATTTGTGAATATGAATACATTCGAGAATGTATGAGCACACTTTGCGAATGCCTAAGTGTTTAAGTTAATGTATTTAACATAGTTTGTTAAACGAATGCTGTTTGGCTTGTGGGATTTTTAATCTCCAAAAGGGTTACTTTTATCTAAGCCATCAGATTTTCTTTTTTTTATTATAAAAAAAAGCTGTTACAGCTATTTTCCATTCTTTTTCATGATTGAGATTAGAGAGTATAATTCTATAGCATTTAACCTCTTCTTTTTTTAATAAAGCATACATGTGGAATGATGTTCTGTGAAGGCTAACTTTGTTTGAATTGCAGCTGAATTCAGTAAAATATGCCTGAACGTGAGCCTGAATGTCAGAATAAATCCAAACCTAACCCGTGAAACATTTGTCCTGGCTTTCTTTCACAGTGCCTTTCTGAAGCATAATAAGACCTACCGGACTCTTAAAGCCACCTGTGATGAATCAAACAGACCCACACCTGAGTGCTGAGGTAATGTCAGACTGAAACCATCAAAACATCTGATGAAGAGAGACAGACAGGATATGCACTCATTTCCTGACCATTCGCCATCTTTCAGAGGTCTGAAGATCACTTGCTTTCCTTCCCCTCTTATAGAGTTACTGTACACCCCTAATCTGTGCAGTCGTCATAGCCATAACTATTCTTTTAACGTAACTTTTACTGTATGGATTTGGAAATGCGATAAACAGTTTGAAGTTATGGCATATTCCTGCTGTATTTAAGTGCAGTGAGAGGTGTTTCAGTGCAGGCAGATGTGAGCATTTATCTGCTTTTCCTGTGTGAGCACTTTAACTCCCTTTAGCATGAGGGGCAGGAAGAGAGAATGGAGGAAACATTAGCAAATCAAAGAACGCTACTCTTTAACCCCTCTCCATCCTTCTGATCAAAGTTAGCCTTGAACTCCGACCTTTGTGCAAAAAAGAAAAAAAAAAGTTACAAAAAAATACATGTGAAACTCAAGAACAAAGCACTCGGTCATTTTGGAAAGGCCAGATATTCCCTAGGTACTTTTTTCTCACGGAACCAGAATATAAATTATGTTGTCTTCACAAGTCCCCTCCAGTGTGAGTTTCTCCTCCACTCATTTTGGTTTGTGTGTGTAAAGGCCTTACAGCCAGTTTAAGGTCAAGTGTCACAGCAAAGTATCATTTTTTCTCTTCTGACCTAAATCTTGATAAGTGTTCTGTTGTAATATACATACTCAAAAGTAGGCCTACGATCACAATTGAATTCTGATAGGTCTATTTTAAAAGAACAGTTTAACCAAAAATTCAATGACTGTGTCAGATACTATTAACATCCATTTTATGAAGGGAAAAAAAAAGCAATGAAAGTGAACTATGACTGTGTCTTACAGTCCCTTGAATTCTGCCTAACATCTCTTTTCGTTTCACTGAAGAACTTCTTAGGGGTTTGGAATATCATGAGCGAGTACATAAGGTTTTTAGATACAGATTCTTTTCCCAATTGTGTTTCCATGTGTGGCCACAAGATGACAATGTTGGACTGTCAACCATTAAGCACGCGTCTCTTGTGTCCGAAACACTTTCACGATTTCTTTTCTTTTCCACAAATCTCAGACTCTCTTAGTCGCTGCGCAAAATATGCACACATTTTAGCAGTTGTCATGATCACCATGAGCTGAAACTCTTATTTATCCAATTTCCTATAGGTCAAACTGAGATGGAAAACAAAGCCAAAGGTAATAATGGATATTTTGGTGCATTAAGAACATTGCTTTCTCGCAGTC